AGAACATTAATTATTTAAGACTTTCGTAAGTAAAAGAGAGACTCGTTCATTTCAATGTTTATAAAGCCCAATTTATTTAGGACATACATTTTATTTATGGATTAAAGAGTCTTTTATTCTAACGAGCAGTTACAGATTCGTCCCTTTAGAATAATTTATTATGCATTTTGTAGGATGTTATGCTGTAATTTTTTTATGAGACTAGAATATCAATTGTTACATCTTGTGAGCGGATCTTGAAATTTACAAACTTTTTGTTGTTTGAAATAGGTACTATAAAAAAATTATATGTAGGTACCATAGGCTAAAATTCGCTTATTTGTCTACTAATATTTGATAGGAAATTTCAGTTATTCCATATTATCAATGCACTGGGAATTAATAATGGAAAAGTGGACTCCATTATACCACGTTATATTAAGATTTCATTAAATACCATTAAGTAATATCCTGTTTTACATCAAAAAGTATTATAATTGATATCGAAAACGACATTGTATTCATATAATTATTTCGTCGAGAATCGCTTTCAGTGAGTACTCGTTGCGAAGCTCCTTAAAGGACTTGGGGTGGCTTTAAACAAATTAACAAACTAATTGGCTTCCGTTTCTCCCTTAAAAATGTGTACTTCATCAATGTTTAATGAATACATGTTTTGAGTGAATTTACATCACAAACGTGGATACAATCTTAATGTAAATCAACCCGAGAAATGTGTAACATTAAAGAGTAATTTGGATTAAAACGACTTTCAATTTGTTAGGTCGAAACCGCAGAGAATATTCACTAATATATTTGGCGCTTTGGTATTGAGTTTTAATACACGATTAATTGGGTAGAGCAAAGGAGCTTATGTCATTACTTACGGGGTCTAACTCGCGTAAGATGAAGCCAGAGATATGTCTTAATTTTGACTTGATTGAATTTATAAATCATGTTATCAATTTATAGTCTAAGTAAAGCCTTCCAGTTTTACGAATAAGTTTTACAATAATTGTAATAATTTGGAATTCATTATCCTCTGTGAGTACTTACCTATCTATATTTTCAATAATGATTTTGAAGTAGGTAGTAAATTTTAAATGTCATCATCAGCCCTTTTTACGTCTCTACTGCAGGAGCTCTCTTTTGGATGGTTAAGGAAGATGTATCATTCATTACCCTCCCTCAGCTTTTATTTTAACTTCTATATTTTAGCCACAACGCCCTATTAAAAGTAGACATAAGAGCGCCGATAGAACACTACTTAATTCACACTTGAAACGGACTATCTGCCGTTACTTAAGAGGGCGCGCACTCATTTTACTTTCCTTTCATTGGTTTTGTACCATGAAATAACTTCCAAATAAGGTGTAGTCAAAAGATAATCACATCATATTTCTGAGGAGCTTGTTATTGTAAAATTTTGTTTTTTTTTTTGTTCCCATGTTCTCTTTTTACCTGACTGCGGGGAGTGTGTTTATCAGTCTATGCATGTTTGTTTCTATGTGGCGTTGTAGAGACCAAACGCGTTAACTGATTTTAATGATTCTTACGTGATTGCTTCCTCTTAATCTTGCGATTGTCACTAAAAACATGAAATTAACCACAACGACAACCAGACGCAATATTGTCAAAACAAAAAAAAAAATCAACGAACTAAGTCAAGTGTGATATCGTAACATTGGTATTCAAAAATGATTTTTAGGTTCCTTTCAACATTTTTCATTCTAAGTAATAGTTTAGTATGTTATTACGATTTAAAGTTTTCCTAAACAGCTATTTTCGCTAATATTTATAGTAATAACAGGAATTTGTTATATAAACTTTAGTATATCGTTATTCAGCTCTTAGTAGGTACGCATAGATACTAGTATTATTACTATTTTGGACAGCTGGTAAAATTTAGTAGTAGTATCTAATTAAAAAGGCATTTAAGAATAATATATCTCACGATGTTGTGAGCTTGAAAACGGCGTCAGTCAAATCTTTCTAATAAAATTAAAAAACTCTACAAGAAAGTACACGTCGTGAAACTCAGTCTCAGTATTCCGACAGAAACAAACGCAACATGTTAGAGAAAAATATCGTAAAGCATTTCAAGAAGAATGACTGAATATCGCAAAAGTCGGGAATCTAGCCAAAGCAGATTAAGTAGACTTTGTGAACAAAAAATGCAGACAGCGAAAGGTCGTTATCTAGAATCACCAATGACACGATCTCATATATTGTCATCTTTAAGGATACATGCGTATCAGATTCGACAACCTCTTAGAACAGATAATGACGATTTTATAATGTTAAATCAAGGAAAGCAAGAAGAAGAGATAGGAGAAAATGAAATTGATACCAGATTTACTGATGAAGAATTTGAACGAGCCCTCCCCTCGCTGAACATTCAGTAGAGGCTGTTTTTTAGAATGGTATTTAAAAAAAGTTTGAAGCACAAATTTTTTAGAATGTTTGTTACAGGTGGAACTGGAACATGAAAAACATTTACGCTAATACTAATCGTAGAAGAAGTAAAAAGGCTTCGTAGCAATCGTAAGCACGAGAAATATGTAATCGTTACAACACCTACTGGTGTAGCAGCTCGATTGATAGGTGGAAGTATCCTTCATTCGACCTTTGTACTTCCAATACAAAGAAGGAGATCTGAAAACCTTCGACCTTTAACTCATGAACACATTCAAAGAGAACGACAAATGTGGAAATCTATATATTGAATGATAGTAGATGAGATTTCGATAGAACCTTAACAAACGCTACCCAAAATAATCTACGCCTTCAGGAAAGAAAGCAAAATTAACTAAAATTTGATCATTATCATGACAATAAATGAATAAACGTAAACGATTTCCATGAAATTATTCCCAAGTACTAAACACAATCAAAAGATGACAACTGTATTGGAAAGTACTACTATTATATAAATTACACGCAGTTGATAGAGTAATATAATCGGAGACATATGGCCATAACGTGACAGTTGTGAAGTTTCCGATAACCCTAACAAAACTGAAGGTATTGTTAAATATTTAACAATCGGTTTACGATCATGAGTTATGCTAATACGAAATTTAAATGTTTACCACGGTCTTATCAACGGAGCAATGGAGGTTGTATTTAAAATTGAGTGGACAACCCTTCGGAGGGATCAAATGGAATCAGGAGAATTGCCACAGGCAGTTTACATAGAATTATATAACAAAGCGATTTAAAATTATGTTCCTGGAATAAGAGTCAGAGTCGAACCAACGACAATAGACTTCAGTGCACTTCGTGGATATGGTGAAATAGAGCGAAAAATGGTGCCATTGATATTGCTGGGGTGTAAATGTACACAAACTCCAAGGAACTACTTTGGACTGAGCTTGACCTAAGTTTACGCATTTTTGCTAAAGGTCAAACATTTGTAGCTTTAGGCAGAGTAAGGTCTCTAGAAGAAGAAATTCTTATAGTCTAGTCTTGTAATTGTTATAATGAAGTCGATTAATCAATACTCAATAAGTTAATTGTTTCCATAGATATTTTAAAATAAATATTATAATTATAAAAGTGTTTTAAGATCCTAACTAAAACGTGTAATATTAAAATTAATTACGTAAAAATAAAAAAAACCCGACTGCTGAAAAAAATCTAAAAAGTACATGAAATAAAAAAAAAACAAAAAGAATTTATTTTTTACAAAATATAAAATATTAACTGTCGGGGTCCATTCTTCAACCAATGAAACCTTTTCGAAGTACCATGTAAAATTTAAATGGGTCCCGGTTGTGTCTGTGTCGATTATAAAACTATTAATCAATGGTGTAGTTGTTCAGTATTACTTAAAACATACATTAGCACTGGGTTAGTCTTTTCTTTTTGGGTTTTTTATTTTTTATATGTAAGATAAATATGTAAATTACTTTGCAGCAGAGGGCGTGTAGCATGATATGCGATACTTTTACAATAATCCTAAAGGCATCATCTTCACCATAATTAGCCTAATAACGTTCTCACTGCTGTGGCACAGACATTCCCTAAGGATGGATTGTATCGAAAAAAGAGAATGGGTCATAACTTAATGCTAGACAAGTAAATTAATAAAACTATTTTTTTATACCCAATTCACCAATTAGTCTACGCCCCGCCTTAAGTCAACAAGCACACAAGAGCGAAGAACGATACTAGATCTACTGCTCAACTCACCGCAATCTCGCTCCATAGAGTAAATATAATTTAACTGAGACTGTTAGTCTAGTAAGATTGTATTTGTATCCTTTCACTATTCAATCTAAGCGACTTTCGAATGCTCTTTCGACTTCTAAGCAGATTCTTCGACTAACAGCTTCAAAGAACATGTGGAAAACCAATATTCATTATCACATTTTCTTATGTAAACTATAGGTATGTTTAAAATATGAATGCGCTCCTAGTGAGCATCTCTAATTATATCTACAACTAAATTATTTCCAACATAATTAACTGAACCTATTATCGTTTGTTTCAGATTCGATTGTTGCTGGCTATTCGTCTAAATTGGTTTAGTGTAATCACAGGTACTTTCGAACTTTGAAGACTTGTGAATAATATTAGTTAATTAAATTCTGGAACATATATTTTTTTTAACTTTGCCTTTATTAATAGTGGTAATATTCCGTAACTATTTAAAAACTTATTAAGTGAATATAAGTAGTATATCTTATTAGTGTATTTCGTGTGTGTATTTCATTGTCTGCATATTTAAAATTATATTAATTCTACAGTGTACCAAAGTGTCGTGTCGTGATATGTGTCATGTGTCGTATTAGTAGTTTAAATGTTAAAATGACAATTGTTTAAAATATCAAGTGAACATGTTGATCAAGTAAGTGTTAGTGATGATAACTAATAAACAATGGTGTTATTAGAGTGACGCCGATAGTTTTAATACTATGCGGCAGAGACGCAAGGCATACCGTGTTTTAGTGCACACGAAAAACTGGAGTATGTCAAACTATGATGACGGATAGTGAGCACGTTTGAGATTTGGCATAATGTCTGTGCCTATCAAGCGTTCGTTTAGCTCTGAGGGCGGGGCGGCTTCCAAACGGGACTGGAAGATGCGCCTCAGCCTTCGGAGCCGCAGTGGGCACAGTGTGGTATGTATTTTATCAATTTAACTTGCGTAAAAAGATTTTATTTTAAGAATTAAATACTGAAAGATAAATATTGTTTATTTCGTCTGCCTTTTTACAAATCGTATTAGTCGACTGGATCATTATTATAATGTGTACCGGGCCCGCGTGGTACGTTATGACCCGTTCTTCTAGTATAATTTCACCTAAAGGGTAACATATCATTAAACTGTCCAATAACAGGCTGACGATAAATTCCTTATTTTGATGCATTTTCGTAATCAAATGATATACAGTCAGTGAACTGGAACTTAGGCGTAAAAAACCACAACTTTGATATAAATTATTATAGATAACTGACTGCAAAGTGACCACAGATTCACACTATGCAAACGTAAATCTAAGTACTGTACTGTTTAAAAAATAAACTTTTTTTTTGGTTTCCTTGAATAGTATGAGCACATTTTAACAAGATAAGAAAATAGAAATAAATCCAGAACAGAAAGTATAGTACCCTAACGGAATTATTTATATTTTATGTCTTTTTAACCATAAAAAAAGCTTACTTTCTTTTAAACAGACAGTAAACGTTAAAAGAGAGAGAATAAAACATTTTAGGGCTTCATTAAGAAACGGAATCCTTATACCACTTCAGTCTGGCTTCAGTCTTGAGTTGTAAGAACAATGAGCAAAAATGCATAACTCCATACAATTATAAAAATAACATTGATTCTATTTCGATGAAGTCTTTATTATAAAAATCAGTAATTGCCATGCCAAAACAGTTTTCGGATCATAGTATAATAAAAATAAAGCTTTTCACTTTGGTGTCGTGACTACATTTACCCACATAAAAGCCAGTCGTTTTTCCTGAAATGCCGTAGTAAAGCAATTCTTCTTACGCAGTGTCTCAATAGAACTCAATGAGATATAGCCCAATCTGAATAATTTCGCTGTAATACTAAGCCAATCTCAACTGATAAGTTTATTACTATTTAACAATTGCAAATGATATGGATTTTCCTTAGTAAAAGAACTTTTTCCTTTGAGTAAGTAATATCCATGTCATTTGCTTCAGTCTGTCAATATCGTTTCTATTTAAATGTATTCTTCTTTTGACAAAATTGTTACCTACTAATATGATTTGATTAGACACACTTACACACACATACAATTACACAATAAACAATTACAGACTGTATCCGATGTGCTGTCCAAAAACGTGCCAACACGATATGTGTACTGATACTGAAGCAAAGTTGTCACTCTCAGGCGCTGACGCTCCGCTTGAGATAGATAAAAGAGAAAAATCAATGACATTAGTCATATGATACAGGAAATCCAACTTTTTCATATACATATCTCGAAACCGACACCGGTTTCGAAATTGGGGCTGCAGTATAAAATACTTTGTACAATAAAATCTTTTTACAGAAACAACAGTCATAACATTTGGACATCTGGACTAAGATACCCATTGTCCTTTAGTATGTACACAAAAATTCAGTAGACTCGGACGAATTGAGAATTCCTTCCTACTTTGAAGTTAATAAAAAAAAACAGTATCTATCTACTAATGACATTTTTTTATTCCACGCCAATAAAACAAAAACTCATTTTTATTCAGTCTAAGTAATCGATATGCTATTACAATTCTATTTTCAAGTTGTAAACATTCTCTCTTTTTGCTATTGTGAAATGCCTATAATAGAAACCCAAGCTTTTGTCTTCCTTGTTATTGTGAAACTGCATACGTATTTGCGTCTTTATTGTTTGTTGGTTTGATATATCCAGAAAATGATAGAACGGGAGTTTTTTCTGTTGCAATTTCTATGTATGAATACTCGTAATGGATACTCAATAGGTTTAAGTTCACTAAAAAATTAGCTTATCCAAATTAATATTTCATTTTATGTCTTAATTTTCTCCAAATGAAGTTTAAAAGCTTGTGCTGGTAATATACTTTTGAAATTTTTAATGTCTTAATATATTACCTACCCTAATCACTTTATTGTCATCTAAGATTATATGTTAATTTTAATTTATTATTTTATATATTAAAACATTAAATAAAATAAAATACTATTTCAGAACCAGACACTTTTCTGATTTTACTTTTCCTAGAAATCATAATTACTTATTCTTTACCACAATGATCGATTTTATTTGTTAACTTTATTCGATTCCTATCAAATCGCTAAAGTAATCAATAATAAAAAAATTCTTATGTTGCTCAATAAAACGAACAACACATACTTAAACACGCATATATGAACATTCAATTATACATACACGTATATGTATTGACAGATAAAGCTGAAATATTCTTACAGAAATAATAATGTATCGTAACATAAGTTATACAAAAAAGATTTATTACTATCTTAATAAAAGTCGCTTGCCACTGTCTGTACACTGAAATCTTTAAACTACACAAAGGATTTTAATACGGTGATTCGAGAAGAAGTTTAATACAGGACTACGCGGGCGTTTTCTGGTGGTAAGCTAGTGTACTTATAAATGTTATGACAACGGTTAAAGTTAATAGAAATAGTTGTAGTAGTATAGAGCAGAAGTAGGGGAGATCGGGGCCACAATAAACAAAAAAATAATTTTTAATTGTAGTATTTAATTTATTAATTAGACAACATTTAGACTTGATTTTTGTCTTACATGAGACTTTAATTATTTGAGCATCGTCTAATTATGACAAATCAAAGATAACAGAAATGATGTGGTTAGCAGAAATCTTTTTCTCAAAAAGTCAGTTGTCAATTCTAACCCCCTGTTTGGGGCAGGAATTAACAGGTCTGGGGTAAGACAACATAGCATAATGTTATTGTAAGGGTAACAATTAACATTATGCTATGTTGATTGATAAAAAGTATAACAAATATATTAATGACATTTTTTTCTTATTAAATAAAATTGTCATTAAAAGAGGTACAAAATGGCATATTTTTATCTAAAGTACTAAATAATCAGTCTTTTGTAATTGCTATTTGTTATTTTCTTTGAACTTACACATATTATAAAAAATATATTTGAATATAAAATCACTGTTTAGGTTATGTAAGAAGAGTAGACATCTATTCGTACTCATTATCTGAATTACATATCCGATATGATGAATGAATGAATGAGTGAATGATTGATATCATCTTTGATATATCCAGCGTGGGCCGACTCTTTGCAAGAGATACACTAAAATCACTCACCACCTGACCTATCTTCATCATAGGAAGCACCGCAAACAATTCAAAAATATTTATTTTCATCCTCTGAGTCATTATTTTTATTTAATTTTTTTTTTTTCACCTAGTTTACTTCCTTCGTTATTTATTTTTCCATTTCCTTGAGTCTTGCTTTAACCTTTCCCGTTACCCTTTCCCTTGTCTTTTTTGTTCTTAAACTTTAGGACTGTTGCTGCATTTTTTCTTTTTTAGTTCTCTAATATCATGTTCTTCTTATAAAGCATTCTTTTCTGGAGAACCGGTGAGAACAGGAGATTTTCTTGCTCGTTTACCATTAGACGGAGCTCGTGTTGGAGCTTTTGGTAGAGGTCTTACGGTTACAAATGTGAAAATATTAGCATCTTTATGCATGCTTGATGGTGCAGCTAATGGTTCATTATATATATGAGTAGCAGAGCTCAAATTCTTTTGCTACATCTTTGTAATTTCTGTTTTTCTCAATTACTTCAAATGCAGCCAACTCGTAGACCTCCAAAGACGTGGTGCCTCGGGAATTTTTTCGTTTATACGTTCTCATACTGTCATAAAGAAACGTAATTAAAACGTAATAATAAAACTGATAGTTTGGGTTAAACAAAATTATTCAATTGCCCTGTTAAAACTAGCCCCCAAATCTGGGGTAAGTATTAACATGTTAATACAAACCTCGGTGATTTGTTAATTATATCCCCATAGGTACATTTTGAGTACTAAATAACATAGTTAAATATTCGTCAATAGTGCCATCAATTAAGCAATATAGTATTATAAGGTATATAACGGTAATTGTGATTGTCAGGTTTCTAATAGTGATAGGGCAACTGAATAAAAGAAGTGTACTGTTACAATGTCATCAATTTTCAGTATTTATTTCGACTCGTAGAGATAAGTTAAATATATTTTTGCGGTAAAACGAAGCCCATTTCATTCTCATAGTTTGAAAGCAAAAAAAAAGTCATGATACTCCGTTGTGACGTGAAAGAAGGATCAACAAATATATACTCCTTTATAATGTTAGTCCGAATCTGATGTTTAAAATTTATTTGCAAAGGGATCTAGCACATGCAGCCTGAGGAATACCTTTTTTTTTATTACAACGTAGTTGTTTTTTAAAAAGCAACATTTTTTCCAGTGATGATTTCGATTCGATAGTCCTATTGTTAAGTTACTAAATAGAAACAGCTACAAAACTGATAAAACCATTAAAACGAAATCGAATATCTTTATTCTTGAGAATATCCACTAATTAGTCGAGCGGTATACCCATTTAGAAAGTTTTAATTTGATTACTTTTAAGTAACTGAATATTTTATAGGTTTCGAGAAAGCGTTTAAAAATTTACAAATTCTTAATTGAATTCTAAGTATCTTGATTGTGCAGTAATTAGCGTGTTCGTACTATGTACGAATGCAGAGATCGATCTTTACTCAAGCAGAGTTTAATACTGCTCATCGGAAGTTTACTTCAAACATTATTTTCTTCAATCAGTGTTCAATTAAGTAAGGGTCATGAAAAAGCTGATTTTAAGTAAAGTCTTCTAATTAGTTTAGTTGTAAAAAGTACTTTTGAACGTGAAAATACTTTGCTATTGGTTCATCAATTTGCAACAGGAGACCTTATATATAGTGAGGAAAATCCGTAAGAAACTCACCGAGGGGTGCTTTTTCCTCTATTATATGTTTTACTTATAGGTGCTTAACTGTGTTGCTAAGAGTTGCTCGATAACGTAGTGTATATGCGCCGCGGTCAGCGATCGTTGTTGTTAGGCAGCTCTCGCAGGAGTCGGTCACG